ACGGGTTTCCAACAACACGAGGGTGAGTAATTAATGACAGAATTGTCGTTTTTGGGTGAACTAACCCTTTAATGCATCCTTGAGAAATAAAAGTTTTTTTTTTTTTTTAAATCTTACTGACCTCATATAGACACGCTATTATTCAAATGCTTGGGGTTGGTAAAGACTGAAAGGTCAGGTGTGTAAACTCAAAAAGACAATGAAGCAGAACAGAATTCCACTCTTAATCCGAGGAAACTTTCATAGTAAAAGAAATCCTCAAAACTTCCAACTTTATTTGACCCTCTAACTCTAGCACTCTCTATTCTGGTTCTATTTTATCTATTTGTTTTCTTTTTTTTAATATAAAAAAACACTTGAGCCTCTAACACTTGCACTCTCTATTCTATTTCTATTCTAACTGCTTGTTTTCTTTTTATTTATTATAAAAAATGACCCTTTAACACTAGCGTTCCCTATTCTTTTTCTATTCTATCTACTTGTATTCTTTTTATTTATTATATATATAAAAAACCTTGCATACTGCGTTAGGCTAACCGAGACTTGCCATAGCACTTGCTTATTATAGCTCTTTTGTTGGTTTTGATTGCTTCTGTTGTCCTCATTTGTAAGTTGCTTTGGATAAAAGCGTCTGCTAAATGACTAAATGTAAATGTAAAAAAACAAGTGAAGGTGCCAAAACATCTTCAGTCTATATATATAAAAAACCTTGCATACTGCGTTAGGCTAACCGAGATTTGCCATAGCACTTGCTTATTATAGCTCTTTTGTTGGTTTTGATTGCTTCTGTTGTCCTCATTTGTAAGTCGCTTTGGATAAAAGCGTCTGCTAAATGACTAAATGTAAAAAAACAAGTGAAGGTGCCAAAACATCTTCAGTCAATGAACTGAGTGTATGTATATAATCAGGACATGTTAGACATGAGGTATATGTATGTATTCCCCATCTTTTGAAAGAGACACTTTTTGGCAGTGCTGGACTCACTTGTTGAGCGTGCTCTGGTTGAGGGTCTGGTAGCTGAAGCTCTGTTGCTGATGTGGATGTGAGTTCTGCTGGTGTTTCTGCTGGCTGAGGATCTGCAGCTGCAGGAAGAGCTGCTGCTGCTGCAGGAGACGCGCATACGCCGAGTCCATCTGCGGCGGAGGAGATTTCTCTGCCTTCTGGTCCGGCGGGATGTACTGGTGGTACTTCAGCTTCTTTACTTTAGGCTTGATGTCTTTGGGTTTCTTGTGGCGGTTCTTCTCAGACATTTTGGACTGCAGAGGAATCGGAAAAACGTCATGAAATGAGCTGATATCAGATTTATGTGAGTTAGCATTACAATAACTTATTATCGTCTGCTTTGTGTTTAGTGATTTGAAATGGACGAGATGTTTAGTCATACCTTGACTATTGCAGGAACGGGAATGGGTGGAGTTTCCTGGCTGTTTGTCATGTTCTCCTCCTGGTTTTGAGTGCTGCCGTCTTTGCTCTGAGACCCCTGAATAACAATCAAATTAATAAACTGTCATTAAATCATTAATATCAACTGATTGTCATGGCCTGTAAAGCCTGATGAATGAAATAATAGTAAAAAAAAAAAAAAAAAGTCAGTTAATTGAACCTTTGACCTATTTGAGTTTGATTAAAAGTTTGATTATGTTTTGTATAAAATTTGATCCATCAGGCTTTTATGGCTCTTATAGTGTGATATAGCAAGAATATGGAGGAAAAACAGCTCAATTTTATTCAGAGACTCAAACTAAGCAAAAATATGCAATATGCAATGTATTAAATAAACTTTCCTCAAAAGACCTGAGATATTTTGGAGGCTTGGGAAGATCATTCCTCCGCTGAGGAACAGCTAAAGTAAAGCTTCTGGAAACAAACGTTCCTCAAAGGATCCTGGTGATCAGAAACTCATTGATTTTTCTAAAACATGATTGATGGAGAATCAAGTAAAGCTGAGCTGCTTCAGTCCAGTAAGTGTTCATCTGGAAATAATTACTACTACTGTTATTTTTACGTTTATTTGATAAAAATCAGTAAAGATTTGACAGCAGAAAGACACATGAAGCACAAGCTGAAGGTGGACGTTTGTACAATTACACTAAAAGAGCTTTTAATTGATAAAAAACTATAAACTATCAATCAGACGAATCAGAAGGGTGTAGTAGATTGTGTGCAACAGCTTTAACAGCAAAGTTTGATCATTAGGGCCTTAGAAATGTATGTATATCAGATTTGATACAGTAAACTAAGGGTTAAATAAATGGAATTACATAGAAATAATTTCTTCTTTCTGCAAACTCCAAACCTTTCCATAAGTTGATATCCAGGTGACACTGTTTATAAGACATTGTTTATATTTCCCAAGTACTTTACGTTAAAAAAAAACCACGCACAAGGTGATTATTATTAAACATGTACATAATTTACAACTTTCGCAAGCCACAAAGCTTAAATAAATATTCCTAAGTTGTACACGCTTCTGCTCCACGTGATCTGAGCGATAGGTCATGAGGATTTGATGCCAGGTCTCCTGACAGCTTCAGCCGATGGCTTATTACTCCTGCTGCCAGAGAACGGGCAATCATTCTGAAGCCTGGAGCAACGCTGGAACAGCAGAGAGTACAATACACTTCTGAGTGTGTAAGAAACACGCTGGCATGCTGATCTGGGCTCAGAGTCAAAGAGCTGTCAGAAAATAACGGCTCCTCCAGAGCCAGAGCAGAACACTGCAGTTCACTGGATCACCACAGGGGGCAGAACACTAAAAAACACGACTAACATCACATAAATCACATATAGACTCGCTCACTCACTCACTCAGCAGTCAGGAGTGCATTCAGTCTTCAGCTCATTTATTTATTTAAATTTAATTTAATTGATTAGACTTACAGTATATAATTATAATTTTAAAAATTAACGTTTTTGTAAAAAGTCGCTTCTGCTCACCAAGGCTGCATTTATTTGATTGGAAATACAGTATAAACAGTGAGACATTATTACAATTTCAAATAACTGTTTTCTATGTGAATATATTTATAATTTATTAAAATACAATTTCTTTAAAAAATATTAATTTTTATTTTATTTTATTTACATTTTTTTTGCAATTGTGACACTCAAAAAGGATGCGTTAAATTGACCAAACGTGACAGTAAAGACATTTATAATGTTCCTAATGATTTCTATTTCAAATAAATGCTGTTCTTTTAAACGTTCTATTCATTAAAAAGAATTCTGGAAAATAAAATGTATCACAGTTTCCACAAAAATATTCAGCAGCACAACTGTTTTCAACATTGATAGTAATCAGAAATATTTCTTGAGCAGCAAATCAGAATATTAGAATGATTTCTGAAGGATCATGTGACACTGAAGACTGGAGTAATGATACTGAAAACTGAATAATAAATTGAATAATTGAAAATAGAAAACTGTTATTTTAAATTGTAATAATATTTCACTTCTTTACTGTATTTTTGATCAAATAAATGCATCTTTGGTGAGCAGAAGAGACTTCTTCCAAAAACATTCAAAAATCTTAATTTCAAACTTTTGACTAATAGTGTATTTATATTTATTACCAGTGGTGTTATATATATATATATATATATATATTATTGTTTAAAGTTTTTTTTGTGTTTGTATTTATGGGCAAAGAAAAGCAATAAATAAATAAATCAAACTTTTGTTTTAATATATATTGCTTTTTATTCCTGATTGTGCTTGCTGTGTTTTGTACGGGGCGACTCACATGCTCGGTGTTGGTGAGTGTCGGTGAGCTCGAGCCGCTGCTCTTGTTCTCTGTAAGCGCTTCAGCCGAACACTGCGACTCTTCACTGTGTGGCTGATCTGGAGACAGACTCTCACTGCTGCTGTCCTCCTCAAACGCGTACGAGTCCTCCTGCTGCGGGAACTTGTCATGGTTCACTGCGGAGAAACGAGAGGCGAGATACAGACTCAAACCCAGTCAGATAAACTCAGCGAGAAGATCAGTCCAACAGCGAAACAAAGAAAAGATAAGAAAAACAAATGTACAGGGAGCAGCGAACATGAACGAGACTGATTAACATCTCAACGCCAGCAGTGTTTGACAGAATTACAGCCTCTGAACTCTGTGTCTGTGTAAATATTTGACTGAAAGTCTGTTTGCGTCTGATGTGTGTGTGTGTGTTAAGCGCGTGCCAGAACATCAATGCGTGTGCCAGTGCTGAACGTGTCTCACCGTTTGTCATGTGCACGGGGTCGAACACTTTTGATGCAGTGACAGGAGCCTAATAGAGCAGAGGTCACACGAGGGGTCACGAGAGGTAAGTGTGTGTGTGTGTGTGATATCTGACCATGTGAGCTGGCAGCAGAAGTGCAGGGACTGGTTTCAATCAGCACAAGCACTCTCTCAGTTAGGCACACAGGCGCACACACACACACACACACACACACACACACACACACACAGGTTTCATGTTTTCATGTTCTATGGGTTCATTCCATAGGTGTAATTGTTTTTATACTGCACGAACTGTATTTTCTATAATCTTACCCTAACCTTATAAACTGTTTTCCTCATGGGGACCAAAAAATGTCCCCACAAGGTCAAAATGTACTGGTATTACTATCTTGTGGGAACATTTGGTCCCCATATAGAGAATACCAGGTGTACTCTCTCTCTCTCTCTCTCTCACGTGTGAGTTATTTCCTTCTCATGTTGATGTTGGATGGTTGTGGTGTGGATGAGGTCCAGTGAGCTCCTCACTGTCCACTTACTCTTAAATCATCTGAGACAGTGTTTGTAAAGAAAATGCCCTGTCTGTGCAATGCCATTTTGCCATTTCTTTATTTCCTTTTTTTTTTTGCTTACAGTTGCTTACAATTTCTGAAGCTGTACCTCCTTTTCTCTAAACGCTACACACAAAACCACAGAACATGCACACAAGACAACATTACGCATCTCTTGCAAGCAAAACTACTTAAAAACTAGTTTAATTCTTACAGTGGTGGACAGTAAATGTATAGTTCAGTCATGAAACTCTAGATGGCGCAGACTGACGGGTATTAACGTAACTAATGGGCATTAACGTTAAATGACTTGGCACAAGCTGATTGGTTCATGTTGCATACGCAGCCAATGAGCTTGCTGGTTAGCATCCACTTGAGCATTTGCAGCGCACTTTCAGAGTTCCTCTCATGGACAAGTTTACTTTCAGCATGTCCGAAAACACTGGATCTGAGTGCACAACATACTGCGGTCGGACGACATAGTAAACACAGAGCGAGTTAATGCCCGTGAGCGAGAGCCCACGGCCTCCTAAATCAAGCTGTGTTTGTTGAGCAAAAGGTTGGGAGGATTGTAAGGAATCTCGCTCAACATCACTAGCGAGGAATTCACTCATGCAAAGAAGATGAAAAAAGATGCAACATAAAGTCATGATAGAAATTAAGGAGTTAGTGATGCAACTACACACACACACACAAAATAGTTTTTGTGATATTAAGTTTATTTTAGATAAACTTATTTTCAATATCTATATTTTTAGATATTAACTTTATTATTTAAGAATGAAGTTTATTTTTCCAACCCCACTGACAGATTTTTTAAGTAAAAACTCACTTAATTTGTACTTAATTAAGACTTCATATCTTATTCTGCTTCACAAGTACTGTAAATGTAACTTGATTTAAAGGCATATTTCACCCAAAAAATGAAACTTTTGTCATTATTTACTCTCTCTCATGTTGTTCCAAACATGTATGAGTTTCTTTCTTCTGTTGAACACAAAAGAAGATATTTTGAAGAATATGGGTAACCAAACAGTTGACGGTAGCCATTGACCTTCATATATTTTTTTCGCATTAAATGGAAGTCAATGGCTACCGTCAACTGTTCGGTTCCTTATTTTTTTCATATTACGGAAGTTAATAACTGTTTGGTTCCATATTTTATTTTACTTTATTTTTTCCATACTTTGGAAGTTAAAAACTGTTTGGTTCCATATTTTTTCTGTAATATGGAAGTCAATGGCTACTGTCAACTGTTTGGTTCCATATTTTTTTTTCCATATTATGGAAGTCAATGGCTATCGTCAACTGTTTGGTTCCATATAATTTCTTTTTTTTCCCTTCCATACTATGGAAGTCAATGGCTACCGTCGACTGTTTGGTTCCATATAATTTATCTTTTTTTTTTCTTCCATACTATGGAAGTCAATGGCTACCGTCGACTGTTTGGTTTCATATAATTTATTTTTTTCTCCCTTCCATACTATGGAAGTCAATGGCTACCGTCTCTTGTTTGGTTTCATATAATTAATTTTTTTCTCCCTTCCATACTATGGAAGTCAATGGCTACCGTTGACTGTTTGGTTCCATATAATTAATTTTTTTCTTCCATACTATGGAAGTGAATGGCTACTGTCAACTGTTTGGTTCCATATTTTTTTCCATATTATGGAAGTCAATGGCTACCGTCGACTGTTTAGTTCCATATAATTTCTCCTTTTTCTTTTCTTCCATACTATGGAAGTCAACGGCTACCGTCGACTGTTTGGTTCCATATAATTTCTTTTTTTTCCCTTCCATACTATGGAAGTCAATGGCTACCGTCGACTGTTTGGTTCCATATCATTTCTCTCTTTTTT